ACCAGAATTGAAATTTAATACGCAAGTACTTACCGTACTACAAGTATACAGAGAGTAGATTTGCTACTCCTGGGAGTAGAGTACAATGCAAGGAGTACTTATTGAACGAAATGCGGCAAATACACTTGCGCTGGACTCTAATATGTACATATGTATGTAAATTTGTGCAAATTAAAATGAAATAAAAAAGAAAGTGAGTTTATAAAAGCGTGGTAAAAAAAAAATTAATTAGCACAACGGGGTTCTGGTTGAACTTCGTCAGAGGATGAGGGCTTAAAAAACTGGCCAAGAGCAGAAAACGTGGGAGTTTAAGTGCATTCTTTCGAATATATTTTGAAATACAATATATTTAAGAAATTTTGTGATCCAAATCTATTTTAAATATATTAAAACTATAAACAGCTCCATGGTTTTGTTTTCAGAGAACGTGCCAACAGCGTATAGGGATTTTCTTTCATATGAAAAACCAGACTTTCGAGTTTGTGTTTACACTTCACGACGTTAGAACTACTTGAAATTAATATAAATTGTTTGAAATTAGTGTCTAGCCGCCAAAAAGTAAGAAAACAAATGCAAAATCATACATTTTTAAAATTTTCTAACATTTCGCTACACCAACGAAAGCAAAATTCTGTTCGACAGAAAATCCGATACTCAACGAAAATTTCGACACGCTTGCATAGCTCATAATACGAATTTCGTTTTCGATTTTCGGTCTTATAGCCAGCGAAGATCGAAAATCGAATGCAACTCATAATAGGGGCCTAATAGATTAATTGAAGAATAATCTCAAAAATATTTTCAAGAAATATTAATTCAAAACAGCCGTAAGGGTTGCTCAAGTTTAGAGCATACAATGGTGGCAAATAGTTGTGCATGTAAAGGCTAAAAAACTAAGTGTGGAAACGTTAAAGGCGCTACATACTCGTTGATTTATCGGCGAACCAGTTGGTCAAATACTAGAAGTTGGTTGTAAATAAGCCGTATGTCGGCAAGCGCTGAGCGCCGTTTTTCAAACGTTGGTGCTACAGCCACCGAGAAACGCAACCGCTCGTTGTAATTTCGATTTCGATTGTTCAACACACCCCTCAATTTTAGCTCATTGAGCTATCATTACGTATTGTTGTTAATAAGTCACTTGCCGCAGGTACTTTGTTGACGATTGAAAAGCTACGTATATTAGCCCTTTGTTTAAAATTGGAAATAAAAATAAGGTCTGTAACTATAGACCAGAGGCGGGCATTTTTTTATTTTCAAAACACATGTAATTGGACTTCAAAATGCTGCTTGCTGCAACGTCAACACATGTATACTATCATCGTCTTCGAGTGTCTTACGATTAAGGATGGCAAAGTCGACTTCGACTTTCGACCAAAATCGACTTTTTACTCCTGAAAGTCGAATTTTAGTGATCGACTTTTAGTTTATGGAAGTCGACTGAAGTCGCCTTTTCACTTTCGGCTCTCGACTTTTTTTGATTTATTTGCATATAAAAACTGATCTTCTAACAAGGGCGCAGAGTGCTTTTTGGTCGTATTTAAAAAAAATTGCCAATAAAACTGAAGTGAAATTTGAAAAGTGTGGTAGATAAATGAATTTTAATGACAGTACAACAACATCGTCAAATCATTTAAGAGCAGCGCATAAAATTACTATACGAAAACAAATTCCTCAAAATTTGTTAATCGTTTGTCTCCACAATCTTCAGTTAATAATGAGTTAAGATAAACATAGATATTTATTTTAAAAATTTCATCCAAGAAAGTTTTTCTGCATGAGTTTATGTAAGTTTCTACAGACAGTCTTTGGTTCGAATTTGACCAATCCGTAAGGTAAAACATTTTAAACACCGCTAAAAACGTTGCTGGTAGGATTCCAGTTAATATGCGACATTAGTCGTGTGGATAGTCCCAATCCAATAGCTGTCTGGGCTACTCCCATATTTATCCATGCCTTTAAAGTGGCACTATATTTCTACCAATACCCGCCAATTCTGCTCCATCGGAAGGCCACATTTTCAAAAAGTTTTCCGTAATTACCAAATATCGATTCAAATAATTTTTAAAATTTTTTTGTGAAAATTTAAAAAATTTTAAATTATTTTTCAAAAATATAATTTTTAAAAACCCTTACAACCAACATTTTCATGCTGTATAGCTGGAACAATTTTCAAAATTTTTAAAAATCCTTTAGTGTCTGTTTTTTTTTACCTAGCATTGAATTTCACTAAATTACAGATTATTCTAAAGACCCCTAGTAAACCATGATATTTTTGGCGTATTCTGACTCTTATATTTATGGTTAATATATGAGTTAAATGCAGCGTATAGTTAATACATTTTCTTTTTATTAAAAAAGTCGAATAAAAGTTTCTTTTATTATCCTTTTATGTTCATTTATGTCTAAGCATATTTAGGACTCCCTAAAGAAGCTGTAGTATAATTGGTTAATAAGCAAATGGACCACTTCGTTCAACTTCAATACCTCCGCTCATAAAAGCTTGCGCACCTCTTCGATTTTTCGCAGAAGGAGGTGCCACAGCAATGACTTCAGTTTGGAAAACTTGGTGTGTCGGTAGTTTTAAAAGAGGTACATCAGTTGGTAAAGGAAAAATTTGTAATCAGTGTTCGCTTTTGTTTCGCCAAAAGGGCGTACTCCACGGGAACTAAAATTTCAGGTTATTGTATTGTTATTTTCACCATATTATGTAAAAGCAAACTGCATTGAGAAATGTTAATATCGTTCTAATCATAAAAACGTAAAATATATGACCTACTTTTCAATTTTCGCTCCTAAATACACTCCAAAAACCTTCCCAGCAACCACAACAAATGTAGTTGCCAATTGCCATCTGTAATATTGTTTTGGCAACTAGCAACGCAAATGAAGTTCCCTTGCTATCGATAATAGACCCATTACTTTTTTGACAACTTGGCAACTTTGCTCCAATGTGTTGAACCATTTATGAGGACAAATAACAAATCGGGGATCAGAAAATTCCGCTACTAGACTCAGTAGCCGACAGTTAGTAGCCAGTAGCCATATGTAATGCGAATTTTAATATAAGGTTGCCCACCGGCTATCAGTCGCCGTACACCGGGCCTAAAAGATCTTCTGTATCTCTTTAAAGGAGTCCCTAACCCAATGTGGCCAAGACACCTTCGGCTTCCGTAATGAATCCTAAAAGGGCCTTGGTAGACGAATTCCTAATAACAAAGGGCTCGGCCATCGAAAATTTAAAATAAATCAGTCGTTGTCTGACTAAAGCCGGACAGTGACAGAGAATATGCTCCGAAGTTTCATCAGCCTCAGTCAGATACCCAGAAAGAAAATTCTCCTTTAAACAGTTTAAAAATTTATTTGGATTTAAATGGACAACATGATGCTAGCTTTCTAGCAGGACAATTTATTTATTGTCTAAATCAGAGGTGGGCAGCTTCGGTAGAGCATTTTTGTAGTGTGCGTGCAATTGATGACACTGTGTGCGTGCGAACAAGTCGTGCAGTTGAATGAAGCTTTCGCTGTCTTCCTAAGCAGAGCGTGTATGTATACACGAATACGCCGTGCAGACGCTGTCTGAATGGTCTAAAGGTAAAACGGCGCTTACTATATTTTTCTTGAACATGCTGAGAGGAAAGTTTTCAAAGAATTGGCGCTTGCGATAGTTTTTATGTTGTATAATCTGGACATTCATGAATGTTAAGTCAATTAAATACACTGCCAATCAGCAGAATAAGCTCAACATATTTTCAACTTTTGGTGCATCTACTAGATTGTCCACAAGTTTTCTTTGTGGATGCGGTGTTAAAGCTCATTCAATTCTCAAATAATTTAAAACGATCACATTGACGCTACTATTTGGTATTTTTTGACGTTTTCTTTTAAAGAATGAGAAAAAAAAATTTAATCCTTGACCAGAATATGTTCAGTGCCAAAATCTTCATATTAGGGAGATTTTTGGCAAGTCTCGAAATCAGTTGTTATATTTCTCGGCTCCTCGTGTGTTTTAAACCTTGCTATTGGATAAAAAAATTGTTAACTAAAAACTTTCAATCTAGAGATTAAAATCAAAGACTGCGATTTTATAAAAAAGAAGGCTGAAGTGCAGAAGTTACGGTAAGTAAAAGGTTAAAATCAAAATCTTATAAGCAATTTGGAGGGAGATAAACGGCGAAATTAAAGAAATTGGTGTTAAGATAGCAATTCGAATTCAGTTGCAATATTTTCTATACCAATGCTTACAATAGCAATTTAAGCCCCGTTGGGTGTCTGTTTTTCATCTTCCAATTATGCTTTTCAATCTTATAACCAATTGGCAAAGCAAGAGTTTCAAAAAAGACCCCCCTAGACGAGCTACGCTGCCCTTAGTGATTGCAACTGCAATTGCATAATGGCAGATTGAACTGAATTTTGCTGAGGGAAAGAAGCTGATTTTGAAGCATTCAGTTGTAGCAACTGATGGAAGTTTGGTTAAAACTACAGTTAAACTGCTTTTTACAATAAAGTTCTGTACACACTGGCCATTATTATAAGTTGCATTCGATTTTCGATCTTCGGTTATTATCGCGGATCGAATGCGAAATGCGTATTATGAGCTACGCAACTGTTACTACGTTTATGTGTAGGCTAATTCACGAATTCATTTCATGAATTTGGGATAAAATTGGCTGCATAAACGCCATTTCATGAATTCAATTATACACGAAAGTTAACCATGAATTCGGCATCATTTCATGAAATCGTCAAGTGCAAGTCCGGCAACGCCACGTTTCACAAACATCTGTTTACTAGGGTTATGATGTTTTTAGATTAAAAAGCATGAGTGGCATAAACAGGATTTACAACACTGGAAATGTTACGTGGAATTGTTGAAATATATAATAAATTCAAATAGATAAAAATTAAAATATATTAAAACCAATTTAAATATAATACGATTCATTTCCTGGTACCAACAGGTTTTTCAAATTCGAAAGGAG